TTCGATGGTCAAGGTTGGCCCAATAGTTGATGGTGGATGTTGCCGAAATATAGCCCTAGTAGCTTTGCTATAAAAAACAAATAAATGATGTCGATGGAAGTTTAATTGTCATGTCCTGAATAGATTTGATTTGTACATATTCGCATTGGAGCTTTATAGTTTCAGTAACAAGCACAAAGAAAAGGAATAAGAAACAAACAAACATATAACAATGTTCGTTCTCCCTGTGTAATGCTAAGATTGAAACAGGTATAAATCATAACTAGAATTGTCCAAGGATTAAACCTATTGGAAGATAAAGCTGAACATAAAGGTGTTATAATCCATTGAGAATGTTGCCTTGTTCATGCATTTTAAATCGAGATGGCTGAGCAGTAAACTTGATGTCTTATAATGCTAAAATTCGATGCTCGATTCCCACATCCGTGTTCAGCACAGCTCATGTAGTAGATTGGTTAGCTTTGTATATTACAAGCAAACAAGACCGTGTCGACCTGCGGATGGTAGTTTACAAAATTCGGAACGTAGTGCCAATGCAGACCACTCCACACTTTCAATTGCGGACATTTTATAATGTGACAATGAAGTTATTCAGTTCATAGAGCCGGAAAAAGCACTTGTAGAGGCGGTGAGTGCTGATTGCTAGCTGCCTTATCATTAGTCAGTAGTTAAAAATTAGGGACGCCTATACCTGAAACCTAAAAGTCTCTGACATTACTGTTTAACCCACATTAACAAGTTGAAATTTCCAATTATATGTAATAAAATAATAAAGATTTTATATGTCAAAATAAATAAAAATATCGTTATAAGTTCAGCTTTGAATAATTGCGCGGCCTAAAGCTATGTTATCTTTAATAAATCTTTAAATAAATATGTCAACGCGACATTGAAGAATGATTTACATGTTTCCTCGATTTCACAAACGGTGCTTGCCCCTCTCTTATAATTAGACTGATCGTAAATTCAAAAGCTCGTTTCGTTAACTGCTTGATTCAGATATTTGTGTAAGGAAGCACATTGCGCTAGGATACTTGTGTATATATAAGACACAATGATTTGTAAGGATAATGAAATAATTCAATGCATACCACATACTTCCACAGAGCATACTTGAAGAAGACAGACCAATGCTCTGTCGAAACATGCAGTATTCATTAAAATATTTCATTATGCTTACAAATCGTTGTGTCTTATATATACAAGTACTTGATTCAGAATGTTATCAATACTTTTATTACGTGAATCAAAGTTAAAGATATTGAAATGAGCTTAGTTTGAGTTGATCCTACAAATCAATTAGTCCTCATTGTACTAGTACGTTAAGTCAATATCGGAGAAAAAGAATATCAACCTTATATGGTTATCACTTTCTATTTTATGTTAAAGGTTTAAAAGTTTAAACTGCTGTTTAAATAGCTGAATTTTCCAAACTCCTCTTATCTAAACTGTTTTAGCTTGTTTAAATATTTGTTGGTTGGTTGTTTGAATTTATGCACAAAGCTACACAATGGGCTATCTGTGCTCTGCCTACCACGGGTATCGAAACCCGATTTCTAGCGTTGTAACTCCGCAGACATACCGTTGTGCCACTGGGAGACTTGAATATTTGTAGAATTTGGGTAATTAAAAGCATATTTAATAACAGTTAAAACAAATTATATCATTTTCTACATCCCGACGTAGTGCCTCTGGTGAACTATTAGTAGCTGTTAAATTCAAGTCGCCCCTGGTGGCTCAGTGGTAAGCTTGACATCTTATGAGGCTAAAATTCGGGGTTCAAGACCGGGAGGTACTACTTGCGGAAGGAAAGAATAAAAACAACCATTTGTCAACTAATTATAGTTAACGTTCTGTAGTAACCATTCAGTGATTATAATTATAATTACTATCCATATAATTTGAAAGTTTCAGAAGTAAATATTAAATAAATATATAGATGGCTTGTGTTCTTCTACCATTTATTATCGATTGATTTATCAGACTATCTTATAAGCCGTATAAATTACCTAAAATTTAGTACAAGAAAATATTTGCACAAATAACTGCCCCACTCCCTCCTCTGGTCCAATGGTAAGTCTGTGGGCTTATAACGCTAAAAATCAGGTATCAATACCCACGGAGAGTTCATTGTGAAGTTTTGCGCTTAGCAACAAACAAACACAAATAACTAAACAGATAGAAAATTATCTACTAGTTCTATTTATATTCTGAGTTAAATTTTCTCCTCCTCCTCCTCCCCCTCCCTTTTTTTT